ATTATCAGAAAGAAAAATAAAAAATAAAAAAATAAAAAATAAAAAAAGTGATGACCATTATAAATTTGTATGCAGCAAATACAGGAGCACCCAAGTATATAAGACAATATTATTAGACAGGAAAATGAAAAAGCAACAACACAAATGTAACAGGTGACTGAGTATCTCATGGACCCAAAGTGATCAACTAGAGAGAAATATTAGCAAAGGAACAGCAGAACTAAACCAAATCTGTGAACAAACTGATATTGTGTGGTCTTATAGAGCATGCAAATGAGGAATATCAGAATACATATTTTTATCACCTGCACATGGGACATGCTATAAAACAGACCACATGTGCTAAATCATAGAATATTAAATAAATACAATTCATTGAAATTATCTCATGTATGTTAACTGACCATAGTGCAAGCAAATTGGAAATTAATGACAAAAGAATTCATAAAATTCCATAAACCCATAGAAATTTATTAACACCCACCAGAACAACCAAGATATCACTGATGAAATTAAAGAAAAATAAAACTGTATATAGAATAAAAAACAAATGCAAATACAGTGGAGTAGAATTTTGTGAAGCACAATGAAAGCAGTTCTCAGAGGCAAATTTATAATAGTGAATTCTCACATCAGTAAAACAGAACAATTAAAAATTAAGAATCTAATGCTGCACCCCAAGCTTCTAAAAAAGGAAGAACAAGTTAAACCCAAAGTACAAAGAAGGACAGAGGGAATTATGGAAATCAGAGTAGAATTTATTACAATGGAGACAAAGAAAACAATGCAATGAATTAATGAATTCATATGTTTTGAAAGAATAAATGAAATTGGTTCAATCCTTGTCAGCATCATGAAAAAATAGAAAAGAGGGGTCTGGGGAAATGTCTTAGTGGAATAAGTGCTTCCCTAGCAAGCACAAGGGCCTGAGTTCAATCCCTGGTTCCAGAAAAAAAAATAGAAAAGAAAACTCAAATTCAGGCAATGAACAATGAAAAGAGTGACATCGGTGCTAAGGAGAGGGCTCAGTGGAATAAGCACTTGCCTGGCAAACACAAGGGCCTGAGTTCAATCCCTAGTTCCGCACGAAAAAAAAAGTGACATCACTACAGATCCTGTGGAAATAGAGATCATCAATACCTACTTTGAAAATCGTTGCTGGCATAAAATGGAAAACACAGAGGAAATGAACAGATTCCTAAATGAATTACCTTATGAATTACCAAAGATTAGTCAGGAAGATATAATTGTTTGGAATAACCCAATATTAATTAATTGTATCAAAAATAATTAAAAACACACCAACAAGGAAAGGGCCAAGTTCTGATGGATTCATTACTGAATTCTACAAAAAATTAACAGATCATCTAAGGTGAATACTCCTCCAACTGTAAGGCAAATGAAATGAAAATATATTACCTTGACACCAGAAGTAGAAAAAGACTCAACCAGAAAGAGGAACTACAGGCCAATTTTTCGTAATGAACATAGATACAAAAATCCTCAATAAAATACTAGCAAACAGAATACAGCAAATTGTCAAAGATTATGTGCTATCACCAAGTGAGATTCATCCCAGGAATGCAAAGGCATTTCAGCATGTGTAAATCAATAAATATAGTACATACACCATGTCAACAGTTCCAATATAAAAACACAATCTTCACAATTGATGGAGATAATGCTTTTAATATAGTTTAACACACATTAATGTTAAAAAACCCTAGAGAAAATTGGGATTCATGGTCTATACCTGAGCCATACAAAAGCCAATTATGATTACCAAGAGCCAATATTGCCCTAAAATGATACATACTGAAAACTCTAAAGTCAGTAAAAAGGTAAGGATGTCCATTGTCACCACTCCTATTCCATAGTTGGTTTTAGAAACATTACAATAACAATCAGAAAAGAGGAACAAACAAAAGGAATAAATATAGGAAAGATGGAAGGTAAATTATCATTAGTCAAGGTCTTGTGATACACTCCACAGATTACCCTAAAAACTCCACACAAAGACTTATACATTTAACAACCCAATTCAATAGCATAGTTGGATCTAACGTCAAAATTCAGAAATCAATAACATTGCTGTACATGAATATCAAATTCAGTGAGAGACCAAGTATGGAAACTACACCATTCATAGTAGCATGCTAAAAATTGAAATAGAGAGGTATCAAACTAACAAATATATATATACATTGGAATTACAGTACTCTATGAAAGTATATTGAAAATGATATAAGAAAATAGAAATATATCCCCTATTCATGATTATGAAGAACCAACATCATGAAAATGGTTATAATCTCAAAACTGTTATAGAGATTGAATGCAATCCCTATAATATAATAGCATTAGTATAACTCTCTGATGTTGGAAAATATTTGGATAATGCATTTGGAAACAGAAGTGATGCAGAATACCATTAAAGGGCATATGTATATATGTATATTTAGCAATATAGATATAAGGATACAGATCTATCTAGAGAGACATATAAATATATCTTGTGTGTTCATATAAAACATAATAATTAAGATTATTCTATTACTCATTTTTATTAGATCACCAAAATGAATGGTTTATATTTATATTACTTGATCAATTTTTCATGTATATATCAAGAGAATATGAGAAACTACTTTGGATAACAATATTAATTATATTAATCATTTTCATTCCCTTAGTGTATTGTGTGTAGTTTTTATCTCTTTAAAATTAAAAAATGAATATTAATGTCTAATTCTTCAATTTTTATACATGATTATTGCATGAGTACAATTTGGGGGGGACAACATATGAAAATATTCAGTTTCCTTTGGTTAAGAGTAGCATGATTGGGAACAATATACCTTGGTAACTCCTGTGGCCCATTCTACGATATCCTCCGATAAAGTCATTTTCTGACCATGTGAAGTATGAGAGGAAAATGTGCCTAGTTTAGTCATAAGTCTAAGGCCTTCTGGAAAATTCCAAAAATTGAGAATATTATACTGTGAGTCCAATTTTCTTCTGTCATCTATGCTCACTTTGTCCCCAGCACGGTTATTAAATTCTACATTCTTCAGGAAGCGATGAAGCTGAAAGAGACACATCATTTTAGGTGTACAGATCTCCAAGCGAAAGACAAAAAATACGGGTGGAAGAAAGTTTCTAAGTGTTTGTTTCTATACACTTAAAACAACTTTAACACTGAGATCTATTAAACTGTAAAACTTGAATGACTGAGGACTACATTATCACCATGTTTCAGAAAGATCTGTTTCAGCAAAAACATATTCTTTGCAAGCCCATTTAAGTGAGATAAACAGTTGGGTTAGGGCAGAACATCAGCTGCAGAATCAGCTTCTAAAACACACAGCATTCATTTTTTACCTGCCTATTCCAACACTATTTACCATAATGCAAGTTCATCAGTATCCAAAGAGTCTGAAGAATTGAACAAAATTTAATTATCTGCAATGTCAAGTTTTACCCTATTTATTGTTATAAGTAAGTACAGGTTTTCTGGTTGTCTGTTAAGAAAATTATAAAACACCTTTACATGGCTAAGGAATTGATATCCAATTTGCAGAAGCAACAAGCAGGTGTTCTCTTTCCTCTTCCTGGCCAGTGGCTCCTTTATTGAAGATCATCTCAACAGAGGTAAAAAATTTCATCCTTAATATTACCTATGATACACATTGTCTCAGATATTATAGAAAGGATGCTACTATTCTTAGGTGAAATTCATAGGAAAACTTGAGAGAGATACCGAGATAAAACTGCCTGCCATGCAAGGGAAAACATTACCTTCCAGGGGAAAAACATCATCAGTTTTGCATTTCTCCTTGGCTGTGTTAGCACTCCTTCAAAAACCATCTCATGGAGAGCATGGGCTACAGCGTACACGGCATTGTATATGTTGTAGCTCCTATCACTCATAACTGTGTCAAAACGATTTGGAGGCAACCAAGCCAGAGAAGCATTAGGGATACAGTTCTTCAAGGTACAGTCAGACTCAGAGAATGAGCAATCAAAATTCTTGGACCAATACATAAAGAGGTAAGTATCTTCTGGGTATTTGAAAGGGGTAGCTGCCTGGACAAAAGATTTGAACCCTGAAATCTCTTCATGGTGCTGTGAAAAAACCAGAATCCCATGGAATGGGTCCAGAATAAACTCACTCCCAGTCAGATCAGCATGCCATCGTGAGTTTGAAACCCAGATTTTCCATGTCACTAAGTTTTGTGCAATGTTGTAATTTACGTCATTTGCACCATCAGCATCATAGTAAATGACCACCACATTGGCAGATAATGTATCCACAGTCAGGATATCATGTTTCTTCATGGCTGACATATATGACACAGTCACAGTTGACAACATTTTCACAAAGGCTACACAGACTCTGTTTGTGTCCATCTCAGCTCTTATATCTGCGAGAAACTGAAGACCCTTATGGCCTTCTGTGATAAGCAGGCCCACCCAGGTCCAGTGGAAATGAAGCATCAAGGACACCATGGCAAGGGCCAAGTAAGTGTCCTTTGGGGCCACCTGATGGAGAGAAGGATACTGGCCACTGTCAGTCAGTGTAGGGTCAAATGAGCCAAAGGTAACCTTAAACAGAAAGAACATGTTAATACACTGAAGTATTGATTAATATTGTAATCCTAAAATATGTAACTGAACAATTTCCATGAGTTACACAATTAGACCCATATTCTTTCCTCTTGATAAACACCTCAGGCATCAAGGGATTTTTAAACAATGAATGAATACTTTCAATCATCTTGGATACACAGTTTGTACCTTCATTTTTGGTTAAAAAATTGAAGAGAAGAAATCCTGTGTAATCCACTAAGTGTCTGTGTGCTGACTCTGGTTCATTACACACTGGGAGAAATGCTCATCCCTGCCCCATTTATAACTCTTTATACAGCGGGAATTTGAATCAGCAATATTTTACTTCTTGCATTTTCACCCTCACCTGTGGAAATTTGTATAGTTCCATCAGTGGTCCAATCTGAGCTGAGGTTCCCCATGACAATTCTGTCAGTACTGCTGCACACTTGCTTTCTGTCCTGCACATGTAATTAGGGGTCTTATGTTGACCTGTGAGCAAAATGAATGAATTCTCCAGAATCCTCCAATGACTGTAAAGGAAACTGTGGAACTCATATCCCAGAGAAATGTTAGGTAAAAGATGAGGATTCCTGTTGATCTCTTCTATGGCAAAAATGAAGGCCAGGTAGTTCTGGTAGTTGTTGAGTGCAAGCCTGCACAAGAAACACAGAATTGTTTAGAGGAAGGGCCCAGTCAATGGTCATATTCCAACCTAAGCTAGCACCAATTAAGGACTGAATGCCTATGTTCTTTCCACATACTATATAATTCAAACCCAAGTATGAGTATGATGATGTTAGGAGACTGAATTTTTAAAATGTAATTAGAGTTAGATGAATCATGGGAGTGTACTTCTCATGGAGGAGATACTGTTCTTACAAAATTCTCAGAATAGTTGCTTCATCTTTTGCATCATTTATGGTGCAGTTAATATGACCTTGCTATATATGTACAGAATAAATTTGAAGTACAGAATTGTATTACATAGATGTTTATGAAATGTGATATATTAAAATATCCTGTTTGGAAGAATCAAATAGTATATGTATTGATGTATATATAGTATCAATATTAACAAGAATCCATTTATAGTTAAGTGCTTTATTTTAGGAAAAGACGTTTTCTTAATATTATTATTAAATTTGTTTGAAGCAAAATTTCTATCCACATTCACGAATGTGAAGAAATAACAGGTTGTTTGATACATTATTCCACTTAATTTAACTTAATTTAATTATTAGGTAATATAAATTATAGCATTGCATAATATTACATCTAAGAAAATACATAATTGTCTTTGATAAATAACGATAAAATTAAAGATACATTGAAATTCTAAGTCAAAGCTTAGAGTTTACTTAAAGATTATTTTGCTGAGTTTACACACCTACATTATTTACATGGCAATGAAATACCCATTTCTGACGAAACTAAACATAAAAGGGGATACAAATGAAGAACCATTTTGTATCTATATATACAAAATAGGATAGATGTACAGCTACTTCCTTGTAATTCAATGAGAACATGTATTAGTACTAATAGTGTTTGGGCAGGATAACATGTCTTCATCTTGTACTATGTATAACCACTACGAAGACAACCATATGCAATGTATTATTTATTGAAAGTGTCTTACTAATCGCTTTTGAAACTGTCTCATTGCTATTTGTTTCTCAGTAAAATTAATATAAAGAGTTTGTTGAAGAATGAAGCAGTGAGTCACAATGCAGCTGAGTGAGGTTCAGAAATACAAGTCCATACTCAGTCCCAGGATTCATGGCCCAGAGAATTTCGCCACCTTGTCCTATGTAGCAATTTCTGTAAGGTAACCTGAATTTACTATCGACAAAGTGCAATCTGCTTTGAGTGTTGTGGCACGAAGTTTCTTACAGAAACTGTATATAAAGGGACTTTTCATTGACAAAATTGTCAATGGAAGATTTCTTTGTTAGCATCAGAGTTAATTAGTATTGCTCTGGAGTTTCTGCACCACGGTAACATTCAGCAAGTTAGGAGAGAGTAAAAGATTTGGACCAACTAGTAAGAATATCCCATTAGGAATAAGAACACTCACCTAAAAGTAAAATAAAAGTCGGGTACTGTGCCAAACAAAGCCTAAGTAAATGAAAAGAAATATTTCTAATATAAAATTGGTAAGTGAAATTCCTTTGAGAACAACACATAGTATAGCGTCAGCCTTAACAAAAACAATAAGACATTTTAAAACTCTAAAATTCTAGCAAAGAGAAAAAAACACTAAAATATTTTGTAATGGTTAATTTTTAAAATTTTAATCAAGTTTGGCACCACTAGTAAATATTGAAGGAAGAGAGAATTTTTATATCAGATACAAAACTATACAAGTGCTCTGAAATTTGCAAAATCTGTGGAAGCAGTGAAACTGAGAACCTGAAAGAAGTACGTTATTTAGAGAAAAGGCAACTAATAGATGCATTAGTGTGACATATTACAAAAAAGTAACATCTGTGTGTATCTATCTATCTATCTATCATCTATCTATCTATCTATCTATCTATCTATCTATCTATCTGTCTATCTATCTGTCTATCTATCATCTATCTATCTACATGTCTATATATCTATATCTATCTCTCTATCTCTCTATCTCTCTATCTCTCTATCTATCTATCTATCTATCTATCTATCTATCTATCTATCTGTCTGTCTGTCTTCATGTATCTATCTTGATCTCTCTGATTATCATCTATCTTTTAAACATTTAATTGAAATTCACTGAATATTAAATTAGGTTATTCACAGTGTAAACTATTTTAAAACTAAAGTTAAGTGAATGCACACATGTATGAGAAAAAAATTTCAGAGATACTAAATACTTGTTTAGAATCTAAATTAATAAACAGCACAAAAGTATATTATTGGCACTACACTTGAATATCTGAACAGAATTTCCTTCATTTTTCCTTCTCATTTTAGCAAGAATCCAAATTCCCTTCTGAGGCCCTAACTCTTGCTCCTCATGAATACATCAACCTGGAAAAAGAAAAACACCTCATAATTGCAAGTGTGTTCCTTTCAGCCACAGATAGAACTCACAGTTTATGGGCTACAAAAGCACTTGATTCTCTGATCACAAGTCAGGACAGCAGAGCACAATAGCAGAGTTGGTAGCTCATCCTGTCATCCTGGGAACATAAATAAATCCTACCTCCTCGAACTATTATTGTAATCTGATAATGCCTTGTACCTGATACAGCTTCTCACTCCCCACTGTACTCAGATGATGGCAGATCATCCTGGGATCTCTTTAGTTATTATTCTATGAGGCAGTAGCTAGACTCCCTCACTGTCCCTCTACATGGTGCTAGTTAGCATGAAATGCACACTAGCCCATTCATTAATAAGAATCTGCCCACCCGCCAAAAAAAAAAAAAAACACCTTTCAGTGCATTCTATCCTGAGGGCTATGTCCCCCAAAAATAAAATCCTTCTTACAATCTTCAATATGTGTCACGAGTTATTAATCCTCTCCCAAGGATAAGGAGATTTTGAGCACAGTTCTGAGTCCCTCAAAAACGTTCTCGTCTGTCACCCAGAAAAAAACACTAAGTAGTCATTCTCAGAATTACAGCTCTATATAGTAAGCACTTATTTATTTACTAATTAATTTGTTTGTTTATTCATTTATTGTGGTACTGGGGATTGAACTCATGACCTTGAGCTTGCCAGGCAAGCACTTGTTCTACTGAGCTATTTCCCCAGCCCTGTGAGAACATATTTAAAAGCACACATTTTTTTTTATTTTTTTCTATTTTATTTGTGGCAGGATCAGCCCACCCTGGGGTTGGCGATAGTGTGGCATGTGGTGCCAGGGATCAAACCGTGGTCCCTGTGCTTTTGCCTAAGCTTGCCTAAGCAGGTGCTTTAGACCACTGTGCTAGCTGGCTTGCCCCCAAAAACAAACATTTTAGATAAATGATATAAGAAAAACACACATTTAGGGTACAATGACCAATGCCAGTAAGGTCATCTGTTCAATAGTCTGAAGCATAATAAACTTTTGAGCCCAGAACTTTTCTGGCAGTATATTCAGAACAGTAATCTCTGTCTCAAAACCTATGTAAGCATAAGAAGTATGTCTACAAATAAAAGTGAACCCCTGTACATTATAAGGACTATGAATAGGACAGACATCATCTGCTGAAAAAAAGGCCTAGGTTACTTGATCTGCAGTTTCTGCTCCTAAATAGAGTGCAGATTTAAAGGGACCACAGTCACAGCTGCGGAACTCACTGGGCTAGTTTCACAAATCATGAAAGCCTCTACCACCAAAGGGGAAAAAAAAATAAAAGTTTAATAAACTGTGAGTATGTAACACACACAGACATGGAAGAAAGAGAAAGGGTGGATAAAGTTACATCACCACGTCTGAAGAGCTTCTACATCTGTAGTTTCAATTCCAGTGCTGAGTATCCTTTCATATGGTTTTTGCAGTTCTGATTGGTAGAGGCATTGGAAGAGTATCATCTCTACGGATGGAATTTCAAAGTCCCAAAACAAGTGAGGCCCATTAAATACCAGTTGACACTGGAGGGGCAGCAGGCCAACTTAGTGCATGAGCAAAAGCAGGGAGTGTGAAGCTTCCAAGATTTGTCCAGTTACCAGACGCAACAAATATCTGTCTCTTCCATACAGGTAAGAAAAATGCTAGTTGGGAACTGGACAGGATAACAGTAAGTTTCTGCTCTCTTCTATAAGACTCAGGCAATCACTGCGCCAATGACATCTCTCTTCCTCACAATATCGCAAGTCATATGCTAGAGCTTTCTGATCCTCAATTATTACTTATCTCTATGTTTTATATCACACATGATAAGATAGTTTCTGAATAGAGAAAAGTTATATACGTTCAACTAAAGAAGAATTGCATTGCAAGGTTAAGATTCACAAATGATTTTTCCCTTATTCTGGGGTCACCTTGAAGCTCCAGGAGTCCTGGAGCAGCCTTAAGTTCAATTGAAATAGCAACTATATATTTACAGGAAGATGTTCCTTCTAGTAGAAGTGATTAAATAGCTGAAGACAGTGTATAAGAATGTACAGAGTTTTGTGCATATTTAGAAAAGCATAAGCCAAACTTTAATCAACTTACGGAGTATTTGACAATAACCATTTATCATTCAATTCAATCCAAGGAGTTCAACTGAAAGGAATACTATGATTTATTGCCAGGCAGTGGCATCTATGTCAGAGAAAAGACATGAACCATGGAATATGGTGGAGATAGGGGTCTCTCTCGGGTTTCAAAAGTGAGTACAAGAAGCTAGGAACACAAACAAACAAAAAGAATATACTGCACCATATTCAAAAGTATAATAAGAGGGATGTGAGACCTTATAGGGAGGTCTGTTTTCCACAACTGTGTGGCAGGACAGGATGGCACAATAGAGAATACTGATACACCTGTGTGAAGATCCCCAGTCATTATTCCTCCTAACATTCAGAAGAAAACAATTAAATGAAGAAAAACACTTACGGCATGTAATAAAATTCTTTTAGAGGTTCTATACCAAAGGTACCAGTGTAGTATATATAGAAATAAAGAGACAAGAAACACCCAATCACCATGTCTCCATCCTTGTGCACACTGGTCCTCCTTTGGTGAAGGCAGGCTTCATTATCCAAAGTACTCAATAAGTCCAGAAGCTGCAGGAGAAGAAAGATAACAATCAAAGGGAACATCCTAAATGCACATGAAAAGCTTTAGGTTGAGTGAAGAGGAACCTTGCTTTGAGTCACTTAAATAAATATTTTGTGTGTTGTGTGTTTCAGAATGACACTGCTTCTCACTCAGGGGCATGTTCTGTTGCTTTCGCTCTCATTGTCTGTGCCTGCCCCACATCCCTGGGGAAGTTTGCCACCAGTTTTGCCTTGGGATCTACATCTGTGGTCTGGAGTCCCATAGAAAAACAGAAGACAGAAATTATGATTGAGTGGCAATTTCTCCACCTGAAGCCAGCATGACTTAATCGAGGTCCACTGCTAGCAATATCCCAGGGGACACCTCCTCCTGGGTAGATATGATCCAGTTCTTTTCCAATAAGCCAGCGGCATGGATGCCATTAGAGCTGTTGCTAATGGATTGCACTAGAGGGTTTAATATTAGGTATGTTTTGAAACAGTCCTTAAATTCTCATGGTCAGCCAAAAATATTGGACATTGTGCTTTCTAAGTGGAAAATTATTAGCTATCACCTGAAAAGTCGATAATCAAAAGTTACAGCCACAGACTTTGCCTATTTAATTGTTCTCTGAGTACCAGTTGCAGGCAATGAAACCCATATCTACCCATGCTCTCCATTGCTTGCTGTACAAATAAAAGTTAGTTAGCAACTGAGCAGTGAAGAAGCACAATATCCATTTTCATCATTTTCTGAAGGGTTTTTGTATTAGATATAATCTTTCTTTCTTTATTTTTAGTTTTTGCAGAACCTGGTATTGAACTCAGACCCTTGCACTTGCCAGGCAAGTGCTTATTCTACTAAGCCATCTCCCCAACACTAATATTCCTTATTTAATATTTTTATGCTTGACATGTTTCTGCATTTCTACAATTTCAAACGAATAACTTTTCAAATATTAACTCAAATATATTTCAAGTTCCAGGCTGTTAGAGCACAAATTTTTAAAATGCTACATTCTAAATAGCAATTAAGTTTTGTAGCCCTTTGAACATATTTAAGCATGAATTTGTTAATTTAATTGAACAGAATGTTTCAAATATTAAATGAAACTGTGTAATCTCAACTAACTGAAAAGCAATTGGGCTGATTCCTAAATATGGAGACAGACATGGAAATGTAGAGTTTTGTATAAGAGTGGTATTTATATCTAAGTGCATTTAAAATTATAATCTTATACATGAAAGATATAGACTAAATTTAGATTTGGGGTTAAAGATATTTATCCATTTGTGAATGTGCATGTATTTGCATATATGTATCAGAAAATATTCCAGGAGGATTTCTGGTTGTTCTGTATAGCTTGTTTGAAACATTCAATAAAGAGTCTCCTTCAGATATATTCTATCCTCCTAGTCAGAATGTATAAATTAAGTCTTGATAAGCACAATTGACTAAAATGTGCTTTAAATAATTAAGTTGAGTTTGATTAAATTTCCATATTTTCATGTGAGAAATATTTACTGAATTAATAAATGCACATGAAGAGAAAGATGTTTAAGAAACCTGACTGACTGGTTTTTGATTCAAGATTGTTTTTGCAATGTTGGAATTTTAACAAGTGTTCTTGTGGTTGCTACAAAATTGTTCTATTTCTGATACATAGCTCTAGAACTTGAAAGACATTTTAATTCATATTAATAAGAAAGAAGATAAAATAGCAATGAAGCAGTTTCAAAACAGATGAATAGGGAAGCTACAATAATTAAAACATTGCCTATTGATCTTTTCCAAGTAGTTATTCATTTTTTTTAGCAAGAAATTTTTTTGCCATAATTTTATTGACAAACAAATAGCAATGAGATAGTTTCAAATCAAATTGGTAGGACAGTTTCAACAATTAACACACTGCATACAATCTTCTCAGTGGTGAATTGCTGTACAAGATGCGGACTCCATTTCCTATTTACAAACATCATTAGAACAAATCATTCTATTCATTAAGAGAATGTAACTATATATCTATCCTAACCATTTTGAATACACAGATACAAAATGGACATTCATCTGTATACCCCTTTTTGTTAAGTTCCATTATTTGAATATTATAGGTGTGTAAACTCAGAAAAATATTCTAAAAGAATCCAGTAGCCCATAATAGTACTGGGTCTTCCGCTTAACTGGCAATGTCAGAAATTGTTGACCTGAGTCCCCAACAGCTCAAAACAACAACACGGCTTTACTTATATTTCTTTTTTATACTTTTGTACTGGATGGTTAAGACCAAGGTAAAGCAGGACCTATGCAACAAAGTTGTAGCTTTTGGGTCTGATAAGGTCAGTGAAATCTCCTCAGGATTTTTCCTGAGATTCTGTACCTCATATTGTAGATCCGTTGTCAGTATCAGCCATGTGATTGAGTTATGGCCATTTCTTGGCCAATGTCCTCTCTGTGAATGCTTGAGAGAATATTTTCTCTCCATGTGACTCTCCTTAGACACACTCTACATCATTAATCACTTTCCTCTTTGTCCCCATAATCTCCTTGATCAGAAAATTTGGAACACTATCGAGCTACATGACGTTACAGTACACGTTCTCATATGTCCTGAGTCATAATTGACCTTAGAAGTCTTGGACCAAAATGTTGGCTTTCCTTGTAGCCCTCCTTATTCTCTAATTTTGGTCTCAAACTTAGTTTGTTAACCATCCAGAAGACAAGCTTGTTGTTATGATCCAACAACTTAGGCTGTTAAGCTTAACCTCACTATCTGTCTGCATATCAAACATCTTAGTCACAATATGGAAGAGGTATTTTTCATCAAGTATTGATATGTTGAACTTTAAGTCCCTACAGAATATGATAAAAAACATTTAAAAATTAGAATATATTTTTAAAGGAGGCATAAATAATTATACACTTCTCATGTTTGCACATAAGTCCAAAAATCTCACCATATACAACCTTGAAGCAGGACAGTCCCACAATATACCTTTCCTGTCTCTTGCTTTCCTTCATCACCCTTTCTTCTTGGAAATCCACATAGCCGAGAGATATCATACCAACAACTGGCATGTCATGACAAGGAGACCATATTCAGAAAGCCAGAAGGAAAGGCACTCCAAGCATGAAACTACTATTACAAAACTGTGCAGTAGCTTATTTTACAGGTATCAGTATTTATAGTTAGTCAGGGTGAGAATCTTTCCAATTAATTGGTAGATTAAAAAATCTTCTGAAGATTCTCAGGATCATTGCTTTGCTCATCTTCTACATATAGCAGTATGGCTTGACATTGTCATGTTTCCTAGCTCTTCCATTGCCCTCTCTTGATTAGTTAGTCCTTCAAATCCTGCTTTTACTTGTATTATATTTTTCTATTTTTATTTCTTCTTTTGAGTGCTTGTACTAGGGAGACTATATGGTATGTACACATGTGTGTCTGGTTTATTTCACTTATGAGTATATGTTCAAGTGGCATCCACTTCAATATAAAGGCTTCGAGGTTATCATTCTTAATAGCTGAATAATACTCCATTGTGTAAAAAAACCACATCTTTTTCAACCATTCTTCAGGTGATGGGCATCTTGGTTGTTTCCAAGATTTTGCTATCACAAATTGTGCTGCTATAAATGTAGGCATACATATATTACTATGATATGATGTTCTCAGATCCTCTGGTAAAATTCCCAGTAGAGGAATAGCTTGTTTAAAGGGGATTTCCAGACCAACTTTTCTAAGGAGTCTCCATACTGATTTACAAAATGGTTGCACCGGTCTACATTCCCACCAGCAGTGGAGAAGGGTTCCTTTTACCCCAGAGCCTCTCCAACATTTGTTGGTGGG